CTGTGTAGATGACATATATAACATATACTTGGAAACAGTTCAAGCAATTTCTTTTCTTGCTACACTACATCACTACTTTGAAAGATATATATGTGGAAATCATCAGCAAAATAACTTTCACTATACCATAAACACAAGTCCTACTTGGGAAATGTTTTGCATTTGGATAATTACTTTGGAATGATGAGCCAGAATAAGTAACCAAAACAGACATCCCCTAAGTTCTCCGTTCTTATTTACATGTCCTTAACTTCTGCCTTATTAGCAACTCTCATGTTAGGAGAGTGCTTTTATCCTAAGCACATAAAAGATGCTTAATTATTACCTGTCCCTTCTTCTCCAGAGTTCACTGCTGTCCTCAGCATAGCCTACTTAGAAATACAAAGGGTTTTCCCAGTAGAATTTTCCTTCTAAATTGACTTCTGTGTACTCCATGTTTAAAATGACCCCAACTGCTAGAGTGACATTTAAGGACATGATTGCAGTCAGAGGTCTTGGTCTTAACATAGAGACCATAAACTGTTAGCTTGGAGCCCCTCATACAATGAATAGATCCCCATCTGATCTCAAATGCCAACTTCATCATATGCATGCATGCATGCAAAGTTGCATCACGTGTGTCCAACTCTTTGTGACCCTATGGACCATAACCAGCCAGGCCTCTTTGTCCAAGGGATTCTCCAGGTAAGAATACTGGAGTGGGTTGCTATGCCCTCCTCCAGGGGATCTTCCTGACCCAGGGATCAAACCCATGGTCTGTTATGGTCTCCTGCATTGGCAGGTGGCTTCTTTACCACTAGCACCACCTGGGAAGCCCTAAAAAGTTAGGTCACTTCCTGGACTTTACATTCTGTCCTACCAGTTTGTATATTCAGGTGCCACACTGCAGTGATTCCTGACTCTTTGTGTTTTAATACCTGGTCAGGCTGATTCTGCTTCCCCATTGCTCTTCTAGATTACAGCTTTGCAGGGAGGAACCTTGGACTCAGCCTCTCCAATCCTCTTTCTCCTCCTCCCATCCCCTAAAAGAATTCCACACTAAAACAGAACAAAACTACTCAATTATTTATTGCTACTGTGTTAATTTTTAAAATTAACTTGGGCAGAATTGACAGCTTTTTGATATTGAATCCTCTAAGAGCATGTTATATTTTTTCATTTATTCAAATCTTAGCTGTGTTCCCATGAAGTATTTTAAAGCTTTTTCATATATAACTTGCATTTTTAAATTAAAATTTTCCCTACTTTATTATAGCAATTTTAAATAGACTTTTTCTGCTATCTCTTCTAACTTGCATATGTAGATATGAAAGTTATTGATTTCTATACATAAATATTACACCATATGTATATCTATACTATGTTATAGTGACTGCAAATGCCTGTCTTTTTCTTTGTTCTAATGAGAATGGCCCATTAAAAATTACGTTGGATTTGGTGACAGGTAGGTACTTTTGTTAAGTTACAAATATCCACTTGTTCCCATATTATTATTATTATTTTTTAATCAAGAATGGATGTAAAATTGTATCAAATGTCAATATTTACAGCTTTTATATGATTTTTCCCTTGAAGTATATTAACACAATTAATACATGACTGAATTACCTAATGATGAACATTCTTACATTACTATGGAAATAAATCCAGGTTGATTTTGAAGTATTCATCTCATAATGAGTTACTAGATTATGTTTCCTGTTATTTTTAATTTCTAATGCCAATATTCATGAGTGAGATTGGCCAGTTTATCTTCTGACTTGTGTAGTCATGTTTTGGCATCAGTGTTAAAACTAATTTATTATTATTTTTTAATTCTACCTTTTCCTTCTTTTTCTTTGCTCTCAGACAGTTTCAAGCAATGGATTAACCTACTCTTTAAAAACTTTAGTAGATTCTTCTTTGTGAAACTATCTAAGCTTGGTGTTCTTCCTCAATTTGGTTCAATTTTTAAATTTTTTTACTATTTCACTTTTCCCCCAGTTTTATTGAGATATAACTGCCATTAATATTGTGAAAGTTTAAGGTCTACAATGTGATGATTTGATGCATGTATATTATAAAACAATCACCAAAATTAAGGTTAGTTAACACCTTCATCAACTCAGTTACTACTTTGGAGGTCAATATGATGTAATTTTTGATACGATTTTTTTTAACATGGAAATTAGTCTGTTAATATTCCCCCTCTAGATGTTCTAAGTCAGATATGATACTTTAAATAAATTAGAAAACCAGTTTCAAAAGTAGCTATGTCTTCCATCTAACAAAAGATATATATAATTTTTATTCCTAACCATAAAACCTTCTGTTTGAAAAATGTTAGTGATTTCTGATTAGCTATGCAATAAAAGCTAACTCTTTCACTTGGCATTGCCCGTCTGTAATCTCACTTCAGCCTCTTTCCACCACTACTCCTGTCATCATTCTTGGCGACCTCAGTATCCACTGAGCTGATCCATCTCACACCTGCTCTGATCCTTCACAATCGCACCTCCAGTATGCCTCAGCCATCCACTCTTAGGGACAGACTCTAGACCTAGTTGCCACATAATACATGAACTGCAATTCTGGAGTGGTTCACTAACAGATAATCCTACAGAATTTGCTCAAGGTGTTGAGAAAAAGAAAAGAATCAAGAATGTGCCCAACGATTTTGACTTAAAAATGGGTAGAAAGAAGTTGAAACTTACTGAGGTGAGGAAAACTATAAAAGAATCAGGTAGGGTTTTTTTTTGGAAGAGAGATGTGAGAATCATATTTGAATTTGAATCAGTTTGAGATAGGTGTAACAGACCTTTAAGTGGAGATGGACAGCAAGCAGATAAATGCATGAGTGTGGACTGGAGCTTAGAAATTTAGAAAACTTCCATGTATGGAATTTAAGAGAGAAAGTTAAGAGGTACAGAACAGACTTCTGGACTCTGTGGGAGAAGGCGAGGGTGGGATGTTTCAAGAGAACAGCATCGAAACATGTATATTATCAAGGGTGAAACAGATCACCAGCCCAGGTTGGATGCATATCAAGGGTGAAACAGATCACCAGCCCAGGTTGGGTGCATGAGACAAGTGCTCGGGCCTGGTGCACTGGGAACAACCAGAGGGATGGGATGGAGAGGGAGGTGGGAGGGGGGTTCAGGATGGGGAACACATGTAAATCCATGGCTGATTCATGTCAATGTATGGCAAAAACCACTACAATATTGTAAAGTAATTAGCCTCCAACTAATAAAAATAAATGGAAAAATAAAATAAAATCAGAAAAAAAAAAGGTAAGAGGTAGTATTATTCTAGGAATTAAGAGACAAACTTCAAGTCTTAGCTCTGCCACTTGCTGTATGCATCACTTGCATCTTCAAGGCATTAATTTCTTTATCTAGAAAGTGGTGAGTGGAAGACTGTTCTCGAAGATCTTCTTGACAGGCTGTTCATCCTCCGTTCATTTAACTCAATAAATATTTATGCAGGAGAACAGAGCTGGAAGAATTATACTCCCAATTCAGGCTATATTACAAAGCTACAGAAATCAAAACAATATGGTACTAGCACACACAAAAATAGATCAATGGGTCAAGATGAAAGCCCAGAAATAAGCTCCTTTATCTCTTAATATCCTCCCCCTTTCCCTCCCTGATTCCTCACCATTCACACAGCCACTCTTCGGATCTCTAGGTCTTTAGTATGTCTTACCTGTTACAAGAGCCCTGTAACTATTCTTTTCACACACTACACCCTCTCCCAGCCCCTTCCCCATTACCTAACTGCCCAAGTAAGAAGTTCTCTTTCAAATATTACCATATGACAAACACTTATTGTAGCATGTAATGTATATAAAACTTTTTATTCTGGTGAGTTCTCCCTACCTGAGAGCTGTAAGTTTCCTGAGGCATGTCTGTACACGCTTAATACCTTATTAATCTTTGCATTTTGTAGTATCAGGAATATGCTATATACATTTATTCACTGGCTGCTGTTTCTTCCTGGACTGTCCTTCTTCAAGACTTCTGCATGGCTAACTCTTTTAATCCCAATCACCTCTTTGCTTGGGAAAAACCTACCCTTTAATTTAAAATTGCAACCTCCGGCTCTATTTTAGTCAGGAGCACAGATCACTGAAACAGCGTCATTGCTTACTTAGTCTCAGTGTCTCAGCACCAAATCAAAGCGCTATCAAGAGAAGATTTCTTCTGTTTGCTTCATTGTTACATTGCCAGCATCTAAAATATTTCCTAGCACGCGAGAAGCTTAGTAACTACTTGCTTTAAAAATGATTATAATTCTGTGTTTAAAGTAGCGAGGTGATGGACATGTTAATCAGTCTGACTGTGGTGGTCATTTTGCAAAACACATGTATATCAAATTATCACACTTGAACTTATATATAATTTTGTCAATATACTTCAATGAAGCTGAAAAACAATAAAAACAAAACAAAATCCTTACCATGTAATTCATCTCCTGGTTTTAATTTTTCTTACTCATGCCAACAAGAAAAAAATAAGTTTTAAAAAATTATAGACCACATCAATTCTGAAATAGCTGCTTTTCCTATTATGCTAAAAGACTTTTTTTGTATAGACCTTCTTCAACTTACAATGGGGTTTTGTCCAAAAAACCCATCATAAGCTGAAAACAAATGTCAAAATGCATATAACTCATTAACCTATCAAACATTACAGCTTTCCACAGCTTACCTTACACATGCTCAGTTCACTTAACATTAGCCTAAAGTTAGGCAAAATCATCTAATACAAAGCCTATCTTATAATAAAGTGTTGCGAAGACAGTACTGAGAATTCCTTGTGTACTTATCACCAAGTCTTCCCTAATATTGACATATTACATCATCGTGGTACATTTGCCAAAACTGAGATTAACACAGGGTAATACTACTAACTGAAAAACAGACTTTATTCTTATTTCACGAGTTTTTCTAACTTAGGTCTTTGTTCTGTTCTGGGAGCCAGTCAAGGATCATGTGTTGAATTTAGAAGCCTTACCTTTGGATCTGTTTCTTCATCCTCGTCTTGGTAATCATCACAGAGGGGACTAGAGTTGGCTGCAAAGGTGGGTCCTTGGGAATAGTACTGAGAACTCCGGTAGCCATCCCGCCGTAACTTATCACATTCTGCAGAGGTAGAGGCCAGGGAGGGGAGAAAGGGCTTTGAGAACCAGGATTTGCTTACTCCTTTTTATTTACCTTTTCTTGTGATACTTTTCTACATACAATAATGATTTAAAATAATAACAAAAATGATGATAAAAAGAACTAAGAGTTAGTAAAGCAGCTACCACACCTTATATGCCATGTTAATACACTTTTTTTTTTCTTTTATTTACATGTGTTCCCCATCCCAATACGTTAGTACACTTCAAAGGGGCTGTTTTACACCTCTCAAAAACTCTCTGAGTCAGGGTAATTACATTACTTTTATTGAAGTATAGTTGATTTACAATGTTGTGTTAATTTCTACTGTACAGCAAGTTGACTCAGATATACATGTATACATTCTTTTTTAACATTCTTTTCCATTATGGTTTATCACAGGATATTGAATATAATTCCCTGTGCTATGTAGTAGGTTGCTATTGTTTAGTCACTAAGTTGTGTCTGACTCTTTTGCGACCCCATGGACTGTAGCCTGCCAGGCTTCTCTGTCCATGGAATTTCCCAGGCAAGAATACTAGAGTGGGTTGCCATTTCATTCTCCAGGGGATCTTTCACACTCAGAGATCAAACCCAAGTCTGCTGCATTAGTAGGCAGATTCTTCACCACTGAGCCAGCTGGAAGCCTGTCCATCCTATATGTGATAGTGTGCATCCACTAATCTCAAACTCCCAATCCTTTCCTCTCCTCCTCTCCTCCTCCTTAGCAAGCACAGGTCTATTCTCTGTGAGTCTGTTTCTATTTTGTAAATAAGTTCATTTGTGTCATATTTCAGATTCCACATATAAATGATGTCATGATATGTGTCTTTTTCTGATTTACTTCACTTAGTACGATAATCTCTAGGTCTGTTTATGTTGCGGCAAATGGCAATATTTCATTCTTTTACAGGACTGAGTAATATTCCATTGTATATATGCACCACATCCTCTTTATCCATTCTTCTGCTGATGGACATTTAGGCTGCTTTGATGGCTATTGTAAACAGTGCTACTATAAAACAGGGATGGATGTATCTTTTCAAATTAAGAGTTTTGTCTGGGTGTATGCTCAGGACTGGGATAGCCAGATGACATGGCAACTCGATTTTTAGTTTTTTGAGGAATCTCCATACTATTTTCCATACGTACTATAATTTTTGACATGTAACAATTGATGATGTAATTCCACATCAAAAAACACAAGCAATTCTCATGTGAGGCTTGCCTTCTAGACTGATCAACTGGAAATGAGAAATCACGGATTATAATCTCTCATTCTGTTTTTACTTCCAGTTTAATTTGATGCCAAACAGCCTGTAATTCTGTGTGGAGTTTAGCACAAAGCTGGGTGGCAGTCTGAGATGTCTTCCAGTTCATGGAGCAATGACTGGGGCCGTTGGCTGCTCAGAGACTGGGGATTCTCTTCAAGGAGGAACCGCTGCACGGATAACTCCCATCAGTTGAGGGAGAACACAGCAAGGGTTCTAATGACATTTTAAAGTCCCAGGAGCTCTCCTATGACTTAGATACCTCAGAAAAGTATTTGCCTTGCAAAAGGATTCCCCACAGTGTTGCTTTAAATATCCATCTTGCTAAAGGAAGGTGACAGGTGTTTGGTTTGGGGCGAGTTTCCTTTGTACAGTTTTACAAAACCATGCAGCTAATGGCACAGAACTAAAACAGGGCATCTTCAGAGCTCCCTTTTAACACTAGGATCTAAGCTGCTTCTTCAAAGAGGAGATGAGCAGCTGCTTTAGTGGAAGGATAAAAATAAAAAAAATCCTCACTCTCCTGTGTTACCTATCTCATGGTGGGAGCAGAGAGTCAAATGAAAACTACACATCAGACTTTTTTTTAAAACGCCATGGAAATAGTCACAAGGTTCTTTTAGAACACCAAGCTAATTGAAAAATTGTACAGGTAATCATAAGATAGTTAAACACTAATACTTCAGTTACTTATGGGCTGAATAATGTGTGGGCTGGACTGGCAACCCATGCTAACTAACACTGAATAAAAAAAGAAAATGAAAAAAAATTTCTGACACCTCAGAGTACATTTGAAAAAACGAGGATTTATAACACTAATTGAACACTTTTCAGTGAAAAAGACTTCCACATTTTTCTCCAATATTTCACAACTTCTCTACAAAAATAAATAGTACCACCAGATTCTGTTCTCATTCCTACAGGGGTGTTACATAAAGCATGATGACTAGTTTTCAAATGGCGTTCAGTGCAGAGTTCTTGGATTCTGTAAATATTTTACTTTTCAAAATGATTTTAATTATTTCCTCTTGGCTGTGCTGAATCTTCATGCCGCCTGAGCTTTCCTCTAGTTGCGGGGAGCAGGGACTACTCTCTAGCTGGGGTGCACGGACTTCTCTTGTTGTGGAGCATGGGTCCAGGGCGCACGGGCCTCAGTCATTGCGGTTCCCAGGCTCGAGAGCACAGGCTCAACAGTTACAGCATGCAGGCTTAGCTGCTCCATGGTGTGTGGGATCTTCCCAGATCAGGGATCGAACTCGGGTCTCTGGTACTGGCAGGCAGATTCTTTACCACTGAGCCACCAGGGAAGTCTGATTTTATTTTTTTTATGTTAAAGCTAAAATAAAACATAACACTCAACCCTATAATTCTACATGTCATTAATTTGTATTGCTAAATTAACTTTTCTGTAATCCTATAAACTGAAGCCTCCTAAGGATTCAGGGTGAATCTTGTAAGATAAACTAATAAAAACCTATTACCACTGTAAATTACTTATCACATAATTTGGAGCTTTCAAAAATAGTTACCAAACAAAACAAAACACAAAGTTAAGGCCAAGGCCCTTTAAACCAAATCCTTTTATTATTCCAAAAATAATCCTTTTCACCCTCATTCTCTGACCTTAAGATAAGTACAAGTCTTAAATTATAGAATTTTATAGCACTAAAAAAATCAGTTCTCAATATCAGGTACCAAGTAAGAATATGTTTAAAAAAGATTCCTCTGCAAGGGACTGCTAGGCTAGATCATCTCTAAAGGTGGTATTAGTTTTGATATTCTTGGCAATAATATTAAAAACACCCAAAGTGTTATCATCAAAAAAGACAACAAATCACAAGAGTTGGCAAGAATGTGGAGAAAAAGGAACCGCAATACTGTTGGTGGAAATGTACATTGACGCAGCCACTATGGAAAACAGTATAGAGGTTCCTCAAAAAATTAAAAACAGAACTATCATACAATTCAGCAATTCTGCTTCTGGATATTATCTGAAGAAAATAAAACAGTAACTCAAGAAGATATATGTACTCCAATGTTCATTCACACAGAGAGAGAGAGGAATATTACCCGGCCATAAAAAAGAATGAAACCTTGCCATTTGCAATAGCATGAATGGACCTAGAAGGTATTATGCAAAGTTAAATAAGTCAGACAAAGACAAATACCATACGATTTCACTTACATGTGAGATTTAAAAAACAAAACAAATCAGAAACAGACTTAAAGATACAGAGAGAAAGTGGGTGGTTGCCAGATGGCAGGGGGGATGGGGTTGGGCATAATAGGTGAAGGGGATTAAGATGTACAAAATTCCAGTTATAAAATACATACGTCATACGGATGTAATATACACCCTTACATAGAACATAATTGATAATACCATAATAATTTTGTATGGTGACAGATGTTACCAGACTTACCATGATCATTTTGCAATGTATTTAAATATCAAATCAGTATGTTATACACCTGAAACTATACTGTACATCAATTATACTTCAAAACTTTTTAACTAAAAGGAAATTAAAAATAGCCAAGTGACATACCTTTTAAAGCTTATAAAACCAAAATACTGCAAAATTGTTATCCATGTATTAAAATCATGAAAAGCTGGCAATTGTTAGTATTCCCAGTATGTGTCATCTTTCAAGCCTAGTTTAAAGGACAATGTCTTTTCTTTCCATGGTTAAATTTATGTCACAAAAATGTTTAAATAGTGGTATAACAAACTAGCATGTCAAATGAACATGGTGCTCATCTAAGGTTAAATTATGCCATGTAAATTTATGGCAGATAACCAATTTTTTAATTCTTACCAGATCAATCTAACAAATTCATTAATTATCTAATTAACTAATAAATAATCTAATAAACTCATCAAGTTCCACTGTCATTTATCTTCAACTCTAATGGGAAATCTAGGAAAATTTCCTCCTCTCAAGTTGCAGTGGCCCTCAGCTTCTAAAACCTTGGCTTTGTTCATTAAAAACCGAGTTTATTGCCTATGGAGTAAGATCTAAGCGAGTACTAGCAATCATGAATAAACAAAGACTTTTCAAACACTAAACTGATGGCAAGGGCAAGGCAAAGTATAACTTAAAGCCAGGTTATGCCAGCAACCACAGGCGGGAAACATGATACTAAATGTAATAGAAGCTCTCTCTCTAACACATATGCTTCTTGCAACAGAAATTTAGAGTAAAACCAGGCTATTGTTCTCACAGTACTGCGCAGATAAAGGTGTCACTGTTTATAGTGTCCTCTGGTTTCCCAGCCACAAATTTCCTCCTCCTTCCTTTCCCATCCAGCTATTTTCTTTAGCACAAGAACAATGGACAAATAACGTGGGTGACCAAAGTTTTAAATATAGAAGCAAAAAGTACTGTCATAGGCTTAGAGGGTTACCTAACTATCTTATGAATGTAATACTGTTTTGTCCTCCCAATGTCCACATATTACACTATTTGTTGGATTTTCTGCTTTAATATTTTAGATATGTTGAGGGAGTCTGCGGCAAGAAGATTTAGAGTTATCTTCAAACTCATTTTCTCTATTGGAATTCCTTGATGAATTTCCAAGCTCTCTGTTTTGCTCCTAAGTGTAATGAATTAGTGACAATGAGCTGGAGTATAAAGCAGTCACAAACACTTGTAAAGCCCAGGGACTTAACATAACAAGAAGATGCTTTTCTGACTCTGCACAGTCCCC